CACGATTTATGTGTACAAGGAAAGACTCCACCCTCTGAGCACTGAAGTTATCAGCCGTCAGGAAGGCGGTTAAACCAGGGCACCAGTTTTAAGTGATGTATGCATACACTGAGATTTTAGCTTAAAACACCCACCTATTCATGAAATAGCCTATTATGCATAATATCATGAAATATTCTGCTATTACAATTGAGAAGACACTAGTCATTTGTTGAGAAAGAGAGAGAACAAAGCATGAATAAATATTGTGATCTTTGGGTCTTTGGGCAGGAGTTTTTCTTTTAATATTGAAGTTGTGCTCACTGGAGTTCCATTTTTTTCTGCTTTCTGGCATAAATCAACAGATATTTCACATGATCAAAATATTCTATTTATTCATTTAAAATGGAACAGGATCTTAAAGATGCTTGTGAAACAAATCTAATTTCAGAATCTTCCTAAACTTTTTATTTATATTTCAGTCCCACAGTTATTTCAACAGTAAGATGTTTAAACACCTCTTAATGTGCTTTTATTTGTTTTGAGACAGAGTCTCAAAGAATTCAAAACCAGGCCAGCCTAGATCCCGGGCAATGCTCCTGCCTCAGCCTCCCCAGTGCTGGGATTATAGGGGTGCTACCACCATGCACAGCCAAGCACCTCTTTATTTGTGTTTGAAACATTCAGTCTGATTTTTATTTTTAAAACTGTCTGCGCTTCTATTTCATCAGTTTGTACATCACTGGTAATTTAGTCACAGCGAGAAGAATACCTGGCCCGATAGGTTTGACAGGAACACAGCGCACTGCTGATGTGAGCACAGGCACAGCAGCGCAAAGTGTGGGTGCCAGTGAGGGCCTGGCGCGGTGACCAGGGCAGGGCCACCTCCTCACTGCCCATCACATTTTAGAGCCAGGAACCCAGCTCGCTTTGTTCTTTCTCACAAGACAAGGAATGACTGGGCGATCAGTTAATAAACCGAAATCCCCGGTTGCAGAGCCACTCGAGGACCCAGCTCGGCCACCGTGACAGCGCGGACCCCTGGGGAAGATGACGTGGGAAGAGACCGCCGTCCAGAACCAACCTGTGTGGGCCACATAGGCTGCCAGGGAGGAGCGCGAGGGCGCGTCCTCTCCTTCGGAGTCCGAGGCTGTGTCCATCTGGTCCCACAGGGTCGCCCTGCAGGCCCAGGGTTCCCGCTCAGCGGTGGAATCCACGGCTTTCCCGCCCTGAGCAGCAGCCACAGAGGCAGCCTGGACGCCACATGTCCTCTGTGACCAAGCGTTAAGCACAAGGTCCAGTCTCAGCTCCCGGCTTATTGGGGATGTGACTGTAAGCAAGGTGCTAGGCCTGGGCCGCTGCTCTGTCCCCAGTGTGTGAGGTTCCACTTGTGCAGCAAATGTCTGTGGGTGCCCCTCTGGGCTCCCCGATTAACAGACTGCCACCCGGCTCTCACTCCCTCCCAGGAGAGGCTGGGACAGACCGACATCCCCGGGAAAGGTCGCAGGGACTCACACTGAGGACGGTACCATGCTTATTCAGTGTTGACTTAGACGGGATTTGATGAACAAGATCTGTAGTCAAATTAAATGAACTGTGTTTCCACGGGAAGGAAAACCTTCCAAATACATCTTGACACACTTGGTGACATTTATTTATTAGAAGTCCCAGTTCCTGTTGCAATCACATAGCCATGAGCCCTTCCAAGCCGTCTAACCTACTTTGTCTTGAATATTTACTCAAACATTTAATCTTCTAGTTACCTGGGCAGAGCCCTAAATGCTCCTGTAGGTGTGAAAGTATTTCGAGGTTTGTGTTGCTACATGGAGACCACTCCACAACTGTCACAAAACCTTACCTGTAGAAATGGCCCATGACATCCTCCTGTCACAGCTTGGCGGTCACTACTCTGCTGACCTGTTAAGACAGAGCCCTGCCCAGCCTGTACTAGAGCCCCAGCGTGTGTCCTAAGAACTGATTCCCATGCACAGTCTGAGGTACTTAGCTGAGTACTAACCTAAAGTGATTCTAAATATTAGCGTAACACCCCGGGCCCATAAGTCAATGAGAGGTTCACAGGAATTACAGCTATATCCAGGACTCTAGATGAAAGTTTACACAAACCATGCACCATATATTTAAAAGCAATTTGAATGATAGAGGTCTCCATTTGTTACATACTGGTATTGTGTTATCATTCAGCTTTCTCATACTACAACAAAACACTTGAGGTAATCAGGTTATAAAGAAGTAAGGTTGATATTGGTGCACCAACCTGGGGCTTTCAGCCTATGGTTGGTCGGACTCATTGTCTTGGACCTGAGGTGGAACAAAGTCATGTAGCTCAGGGCTGGGAAGCAGAAGAGCAAGCGGGGAGGGGTTGGGTCACAGAGCCCCCTTCCGGGGCACCCTCTGTGACCTCAGGACCTGCCTTGGGTCTAACCCCCTCTGGGGAGCATTCGGGGTCCACCCTGTGACAGGACTGTGACATGTTTGAATCTGTGTGGTTTCTGTGGTTCTTTTGTTCAGTTTTATGCAGACACGAGATTAAAATGCAATTAAAAAGGAACTCATTTTAAGCGTATATTTCAATGAGGTTTCTAAATTATTAAAATTGATTCTTAAATGCTATTTTAGGTGATTTTAGCATTTACATTGGGTCTAATTGTGCTCATTTAAAGAAAGAATATCTGCTCTGGGATGAATCTGAGCAGGCATCTTAAATAGGATGAAGCTGACAATCAGTAAAAGAACCTGGAAAAGTAAATTAAAAATTAAAAATTAAAAAAGAGGGAGGTCCTGGAGCACCCACTTAGTTTGCTAGAGCTGCCCTGGCAGAGAACACAAACTGGGGGAGGTGTGGCCTCTCAGAGAAGGCCACAGCTCTGAAGGTACCGCGTGGAAGAGCCCCACCCTCCGCGCTCCTCCCGCCTCTGCTGGGCGCCCGCTGTGCCCAGCAGCCCCGCACTCCTGCTTTGCAGGTGCATCACCCCAGTGCTCCGCGCTGCTCCTTTCTGTGAGCCCCACTGTCCCTGATCCAAGCTCTCACCTTAATGATCACAGATCGCACTGGATTAGGGCTCCCTCTAAGCTCCACATTTTTACTTTATCACCTCTGGAAAGACTTAATTTCCAAATGGTGTTGGTGTTAGGATTTTAAAACCTGTCTTTTAAGGAAGACACTTTAACCCATCACAGTGACAAGTGGCAGAGGGGGTAGAAAGAACCTCACCAGACATTAACCCAAATACACAGTGTTCAAAAATATGAGTGAATTTTTAAATTTTTAAAATCGTTACACTGATACATTTCCATTCATCCCCCGACAAATCCCCTCCCTTGCCTCAAACACGCTTACCTTGCTTTCTGAATTTACACTGCAGTCTATATTCACGGCGGTTTCTTCTTTTTAACTTTCCATCAGTGCTGGTCTGCAGCGGTTTCTATCCACAGAAGCGTCCCCCAGTGCCTCCCTCCACTGCACCCACCAAAGCTGGCACCCCGCAAAACCACCATAAAGACAAACACTGTGAATCAGCTCAGGACACTGCAGCAGCCACAGGAAAGACACTCGTGACTAAAGAGAACGTCCACAGTGGCGTCAGAAAGTGACGAGGACGATGGGAAACGTGTGTGCAAGCCAAGGCGGAGTGTTTTGAGATATAAAATTAAAATAATAAAAGAACTCAAAGCACACTGTATCTTTCACTGTAATAAAGTTTCTAAATTGAAACACCCACCCTATTTTTTTTATCACACCTTGTATGCACACTCAGGCTGGGATGTGACAAAAGTGGCATTTTGCACGAGCTGCGGGAAGACGGCTTACTGAGCCGGGGCCTGAATGACCAAGCAGACATCTGTCCCCATCAGCGCTCACTTCTACCCAAACTTCCCACCTGTGCTGGCGCGCTCCCGTTCCCAGCTCCTGTCTCTAAGGAGTCCTCACCATCCTTGGGCTGCCACTTCCATGCAAACCTGGGCTGAGCTGGGGGGACCCCGACAGCTTCCGACCATTGTGGGGCCCCGGCTTCCTAGCTGGGACTCCTTTGCACAGTAGAAGTCTGCGTGTTCTTCATGCAACAACTTCCCTCGGGTCGCCTTATCTCTGTGCGGACCCCATGTGCTCTCTGGCCTCTGTGTGGAGAGGCTACTTGGAGTTGATGAGCTGCCTCTGCATCTTCCATCATTCTGGGCCTCCGGGGAGAGGCGATCCATCAGGCTGAGTTGGCCTCTGAGGACCTCAAGGAAGTCTGCAATCATCAGCTCCAAGCTATTTTAAAACCCAGACATTGAAGTATTTAGCCAGAACCCAGAGCTTCCCACCTCACTACAACTTCCTTCCAGACAAGATTTAAACTGTGGGCAGGGGACACCCCCTTCACTGGACCTCTCATTCCCAGAGCCACCCCTGGACTTCCCACTACAGAAAAGAGGGCTGCTGGGCAGCTGGCTTATCACAATGTTTTCCTGGAAGCTGAGGGGACTGAGCAGTGCTAAAACCAGGCACCGGGGACCAAGCCAGAGGCACTGCCTCCTCTGCCCTTCCATGCCTGCGTGGCCTGGTTTTGCCTTTCAAAGTGACACAAATTCCCCTCTCCTGCGTGGCTCTTGTGGCTACAGAAAGACTCAGAGGTTACATCATTCGATTCTCAAAATCGCCCCTCAGGTAGTTCTGCTATGGTCTAGATTTATTTACGAATGAGGCCACTGGGGCCCAGAAGGCAAAGTGACCTAGCCGGGGCTCCTCTGGCCCTGGGACATGTGGTCCAGGCCAGGTAGTGAGCAGGGACCACTCTGTAGCCTCTGGTCATCTCACAGGGAGCATGGGCCCTGCGTGACCAGGTTTTCCACTCTCTAAATTGAATTCAGTGTTTTCAATGAAATTTCTTAATGTTGGCTGCAGGGTCAAATAGATTTTTGAAAAAAACAAATCAGAGGCCTGTCCTTTGGGGTAGGAACTCTTATTTCCCACTCATCATGTTTCCGGTGGGAGGAATTTAGTGAGCCGCCCAACGTCCATCTTTCTTCTTGGCTGGTGAGGCTGAAGCAGAACTGGGCATGCTCAGTGTGTCTCCCTCCTGCCAGGCAGCCTGGCACCAAAAGCACAACCTCTGCTACTCTGGGTGGGAAGGCGGATGGCGCGCGTGGAGGCACCCACTGTCTAGCAACAGAAAGATGTCCTCCAAGCTGCTCTACAGGTGTGTTTGCTTCCTGTGACAACCAGAACAAGCTACTGGCACCTGAAGGGCACAGCGCAGCCCTCTGGGAGTGAGAACAGAGTGCATCTGAGCCCAAGGGGAGGTGGCCACCGTGGGGAGGGCATGAGTCCAGGTGCCAAGAATCGGTGCTTCCAAAATGGTGTGCGAGGAGTGTGATTTGATTAAAGGAGAAAGAGGAAGAGGGAGAAGAAGAGGAGGAAAGGGAGGGGAAGGGAGGAGGGCCATTTCACCACAGTCACAGCCGACTGCCGATGAGGACCCGAGGCCGGGCGCCCCGTCCAGCACTGGGCAGTCGGCCTCCTCGGTAGGGAAGGAAAGGCGGTGTCTTGAGCTCTCATTCACCTCACACTTTGTCTCACTTCCGGGCTGCTTCGGAGCTCAGCAGGAAAGGGAAATGGCATTTCACTGGGCTCTTCCTGTCCCGACAGAACCAGTGGCACCGGACTCCCCGACCCTCCCTGCAGGCGGACCTAGGGGAGTTTTCCGGAAATGGGTGGAGACTCTGCCAGCCTCCATGGCTCCCAGACCATGGTTTGATACAGGAACACTACACCTGCCAGTGATTTGGATGTGGGCTTTAGTGTGTCCCTCACAAGCCCACGAGTCCAGAGCTTGGCCCCCAGGATGTTGGGGTCTCATGGAAGCGACTAAGTCAGGGCTCCACTCAGGAACGGTTGTAGAGTCCATTACTGCCTACAAGAATGAACTGTGAAAAACTCGTTTTTCTGGCCTCTGCTTCTTGTCTCCCTGGATGCTCCCCACCAGAGCCAAGAAGACAGGGGCCCATGCTCTTCGGCCTTTAAAATTATGGCCTGAGTGGACCTAGTATAAAGTACCCAACTCCAGGTATTTTGTTATAGCAATCGAAAATGGAATAATACACCAACACCTTCCATCTCCTTTCCCCACTATTCCATCACTACAGTCAGGAGTGAAACAGGATTGTTATGAAATGGGGGCCTCTCGGGGTGGTTTTCAGATTGTTGGAGTCCTCAACAAAGAATTGAGCAGGACACCCAGAAAGGGTATATAGTGGCTTAACTAATGGTCAGCTTGCAACAGCAGCTGAACCGAATCAGTGGCGGGCCCAGCTGAGGACTTCTGCCAATGTAGAAGGAGAACAGAGGGAGGAGGTGTGCTGGTCAGTCTCCTGCAGAAGCTGTCACCACGGCTTTCCTGTGAAGAGCTCGGCTGTTATCATCATCAGAGGAGCTCAGGTCCTGGCTGTCGCTGCGAATGGCTGTGGTTCTCTTCGGGGAAGCTCTGGTCCCTACCTTGAGCATCACCTCCTGGCTCCAGGGCAGATCCCTCAGGCTGCCGGCACAGCTCCTGCATGCCCCTGGCACAGACTCTCTAGCTTCCACCACTCACCTTTGGGCCTTCCCAGTGCAGACCCTCAATACAGACTCAATGAGACATTGGTGTGGTCTCTCGACCTCCAGCTGGACTCACACAGGACATTGTCATGGACTCTAGGCCCTCAGCTGGACTCTTTGAGTCTTCAGTTTGTGGACAGATCTATTGTGTTCTTCTGCATGTGACTTTTTGAATGAATATTATACAATTATCCTATAAATTATGTGTCCTGCTTTAAATGTATTCCCTTGCAAACCCCGACTACAGCAAGCAGCAGGAGTACAATTTATTAAAAGGAAAAGTACACTCCACAGGGTGGGAGCCAGCGCAGGAGAGGAGCTCACGTCTCCTGAAGTCCTGGGGCTCGGGGAGGCTCTCTAACTGGGGGCGACAGAAGTCCAGATGCCGTGGAGCCCTTGACGCAGGGACCTGTCGGGAGGGGAAGCCCCTGAGCCTGCAGGGTCTGTGGAGGAAGTGTCAAGGTGTCCAGTGGGGCAGGGTCAAAAACCAATGCAGAGGAGCTGGACACAGGCCACGCGCCTGTCCTTCTGGTTTGCAAGTGCTCAGAGGTCTTGAGGGGCCAGAGTGACCTCCGCCTGTTGGCTTTGTGACATTTGGCGGGCTTCTCTCTCGGCTGCCTCTTATTTACCTGCTCTTCTGCCTCGGGATGAGGTGCCATCGACCCCGGGGAAATGAGCAGGGTGGCAGCCTGACCTCGGGAACAGGTCCAGGAAGACCCAGACACCCGAGCAGGGCTGGCTGTTAATACAGTGCGCGTTTCTCTCTGCCAGGACCAGCACCGATTAAACGTGAGAGTAACCCAAGGTAAATAAGGGTCCGTGTGTCCCTGACAACGCCACTGTCACAGCACCCGTCCTGTGACCCCGTCCACAGCGAGGCCGTCGTGGGACCCTTACCTCACCCCAGGCTTCTCCCGGGCACTGTCCTCCACACCCTGGGGCCTCCCCAGCCTCTCGAGAAGGGGGCTGCTTTTCTCTGGACCTTTGGCTTCCTCGATTGTAAGTGGAAATGCCACCTGTTCCTATGTACCAGCTGCTCGTGGAACTCAGCGCGTGAGTACACGGCACGTGGCAAAAGCTTCACACGTAATGGCTGATGCGTGTAAATAAAAGTCTCCATGTAACACACGAGAAACTGAGACCAGGGAAGTGCCGCGACTTTGCAAAGCTACACAGCAAAGTAAGTGGCGAAGACACACACAGAGAGAAAGACACAAAGACAGAGGAGAGGCAGGGAGGAGTTTTCAACCCCTTCCTTTTAGCAAGAAACTGCTCCGACCCAGAGGCCATCAGTTAATGGGGGACACGAAAACTGCTCCCCAACAGAGGGGACTCGAGCGGCTATGGTAAGCTGCTTCCACCAGGGGGCAGCACACGCACGTTTCCTTCTAGACGGGACGTCTGTTCTTAAAATGTCAAACACTGAATGAAAGCTTCCTTGCAGATTTTGGGGTGTTATTAAAGAGTAAAGTGTTGCGCACTATTTCCCTATCTTCTATCACCCTAAAATGTGCAAGACTGCTGAAAGGACTCAAGATGACCATGCACAGAAATCCCTGGGCTTGGCCTTGCGCTGAGCTGCCGTGAAGGTCACCGGACCGTGAGGGACAGGGACCCCGCACATGGTCACACCCTCCACACCCCTCCTTCCGGGCTGAAAGACCAGCGATGGCGCGGGCAGGGGACAGTGCTGCCCTCTGCTCCTCGGTGACAACTGAAAGAGTGTTCATCTCTTTTATAGATGCACTTTTACAATTTATATATATTTGTATATTATACACAAGATATATAAATGTGTAGGAAGTCATGAGATTGGCTTAGAGGGTGTATATATATTTATATAATACACACATTTAGATCCTATCGGGGATAATTTTATATACAGTTCTTTAACCTGCATTCTTAAATGTACTATGCACACCGAGGGATTCCCATAAATTACATATTCTTCAAAAAGCATGGCTTTTATAATTGGGAGATATAACTGAAATATACAGTGGAGGATGAAAGCTTTTTAAAATATTGAAGTGAATGATGCATTGTCACTAACCCCACCCAGAACGCTCCCCTCCATGCGGACACACGCCGCGGTCCCTGCCTCTTTCTGCAGCAGCTCTGGAGTGTTCTTTCACGAGGGTTTTTGTGGGATGGGATGAGGGCTGCTGCGGCCCTGCCATCCAACGGAAACCCACGACTCTGTGTCCTCCCGCCCTGTTCACTGGGCCGGGCATCACACCACTTTGGCCTCTTCCCCAAAAATCTAGTGAGGCCACAGGGAGGGAGAGAAGCTGTTAAAGAGTGGAACACGGGTGAGAGTGGAGGATGATGGGCGCGGGAGGCCAGGGCCCCGGAGGAGGGAGGATGGTGGGCTGCACCGGCTTGCTCCCGGGAGATTTGGATTTCTCACCTAAGAGGAACAATGCAACTTCAAGCTTGCGTGTCTGGTTTATTCTGCTTAAGATTATGGTCTCAAGGTGCACCTGTCTTCCCGCAGATGCCTCACGTTTATCTCCATGGCCGAGCAGGGCTCCACGGTGTGTAATGGATGGTGCAGGAGACAGGTGTGAAGCCAGGCAGGGCCTGACGGCTAAGCCCTGGGCGCGCCTGGTGCTGAGCTGAGCACGCCGTCCCTGGCACTGTGCTCCCAGCATGTGCCCTGCTGGGCCTCCTCTAGCCACACAGAAAGCTCCAGGCATTCCGTGTCACCGGTGAAACGGGAGAGCCACATATTCACAGAGCCGTGCCTTGGGCAGACAGATCCACGGAACAGCTGTCGGAGAAATCAGAAGGGCAGGAGAGGAACCCGGGCCCTGAGTCGTTGCCCCCAGACTTGGGTTCCTCAGGAGCTCGCCTGGCCCCCCTCCAGCCAGCCTGGCTCACAGGTCACACTGAGGTCCCCGGGGCTCTGGGGCCTCTGCCCCTGTAGTCCGCTTCGTACAGTTTAGACCTACAATGTCCCCCAAAGTCACAAGGCAACTGGGTCATGGAGTGTCCCAATTATCAGTGGACTCTCCCTGGAGGAGTCTGGTCACTGACTGCTGTAGGAGACGGGCTGGCTGGCTGGCGGGGTCACCTTGTCCCCCGCCTCTCCTTCTCTCTCTGCTTCCTGGCTGCCCAGCGCTCAGACCCTGGCCACACATGAGCCCAGACCAAGAGCCCCGATCAACCTCTCCTCCTGCAAGCAGCAGCCGCTGGGCCTGCTTCTCTGTGAGGGTGACAGCAAAGCTCCCTAATGGGCTGCTGGACACCGCTTCCTCCCCCGCTGTCAGGGCCCGGGTCTCCTCGCCTGCCGCCCTGCCCTTCCTGTCCCCGCTCTGTGCTCCCAACTGACCTGTGCCCACCTTGGCCTTGCTGCTGCGTGCGCCCCGCAGTCCTGCAGCCCGGAGTGCCCAGTGCCCAGCGGGGCCCAGCACGAACTCGACTGGCAACAGCAGCAGAAGGGCGAAGGTCAGAAGTGGGCGCTGCAGAGCCGCACCACCCATGGAAGTCCATCGCTGGCGTCATCATCGTGGTGCTGTTTGGTTACGCAGATGCATTAAGCAAAGAGACCCAGGAAAGCTTTCTCCGCAGAGCCACTGCTGAAATTCCTCTAACTCTGGCGGTGGGCACAGTTTGCAATTTGGATCCCCATTTGTGAGGCTGCACCTGTTTTCTCACCCGCACGAGGCTCGGTCCTGGGCTTTTGGGGGTGCGGTTCTCGGGGCAGGGACTGGGAGCACCCCGGGGGGCTGGCTGATTCCCCAGCACTGGATTCCCAGGGGTCCTGTTTCCAGCAGTTTCTCCTAAGGTAAATCCTAGCAGGCTTCTTAGCTCACCCTGAGAATGAGCACCTGCTGGCTACAAGGTTTCTTAAGACAAGCAGGCTTTAATGAGACCATCTCTCTGTTCTAGTTTTAAAATAATGTTGCAAAGAAATGTACTGTTCGGGAAGGTTTGACTCCGGAATGCATTGTGAAGGGTATGCCTCTCACTGTTCTGAAAGATCTTTAGTAATTTATTCTCTAAACTGTGCAGGGGGCTGGCAGTGTGCGGTGAAGGTGCTGACCATTTGCTGGAGGCCAGGTGGGTGAGCGGAAGGGTCATTAGCCCGTGAGGACCACAGCGGCCTGAGCAGGAATGCAGTCCAGATGAAGGGAAATGTTTAGGCTTGCCGTAGATGGAAGACGCTTCATTTGTAATGAAATTGAATGAAGTTTTAACTTTTGAGTTTTTAGAAACAGAAAGCTATAGACTTCTCAGTGGGGAAAGCTGACAGAGTCACTAGGTGATCAGGGTAAATGTCACCAGTGGTAAGACATAGTAAAGACACGGGGCAGAAGATGCAGTCGGGGAGATGTCACCTCCGGGTCCTCTTCCAAACATACACACCCCGGCCCAACCATAAGAAAGCTGATTCCACTGGAGGACGTTCTCCAAAACAGCCAACCAGCGAACCTAAAAAGTATCAAAGCCACGAGAAACAAAAGCCAAGAAAGTGTCAGGAAAGAAATAAATGCACGAAGTCTAGCAGATGGCACTGTGATCTTGGATTCAATTCCAGGACCAACAAGAAGGGCATTCACGGGAAAACAAATTGCAGGCCGTAGGTATGTGTCTCTGTTTACCTGCTTAGTGTTGACAGGTGCTGCAGGCGGCCAGACTCGCTGGGGGCGCTCGGGGAGGCGCCCCAGAACCCCGTGCAATCCTTCCACTTTCCCTAAATCTAAAATTCTTTAAAGATTGGGAGCTTTCCCGACACTCAATCTGTTTGTTCTCTCTAATGAGAGAAACTGCTGCTCGTCCCCCTGTAGACGCTGTACTTGTGGAGACGCTGTGAGAGCACTCGGATCGTAATTCCTTGGTCAGTTTTCTTTCCTTCACTGATTTGATGTTCCTGTGGCTATTATGTGCACCGAAATATATAAGGCCTTTCTCCTGGCAAACAAATTTCCTTCCTCACAGTAATGTAGGCCTTATCTTTATACACTGATACCGTGTATCTGTATATTTCAGTACCATGCATGACGTCTATGAGACTGTTCTTTAGAAAATAATTAAGCAATCCAGGGAAAGAGGGCTAAAAATGTTTAATTGTTGAAATACATTAGTAAACTGAGTGATTTACATTGCCAGAGGTGTACACACACACCTCACTAGCAAATCTAAGAACTTCCCAGACATCCCGCTAATCATCTGTCGGAGATCCTTAAAAATAGCGCAGAATTAACACCAGGCGACTGCAGGACTGGGCGGGGAGGACTAGACTCACTGGCTCGGGATACCTGTGGCTGCGTCAGCCTCCGACCAAACCAAAGAGGCCGTCGGCCACAGGTGTTCTAGACGAGCAAACTGCACATCCGACAGGTTTAAATACTGAAGCGTGATACATCATTCCCAACAGTGCAATCCTCCAACATTTAAATAAAATTTGAAAACCAAACTAAAGGGAGAGAGATGGTAGTAAGAATCCAGTTACCAATTTTACAGCTAAAAATTAATATAGAGTAGAAACAGTGAAAGATAAGAATTTGTATCACTTTAGGTGATTCATTTATAGTGCCCTACTATCCTCAATTATAAACAGAATAAGGGTTTTGTTATATAAAACTATCAAAAGAGCACTGGGGAAAGACCCGGCCACGACGGGGCCGAGCGGCCGTGAGCACACCGAGGCTGCAGTCACGCCGGCCAGGACAGGTGCTGCTCCTCTTCCACACGGGATCACGGACGGCGTCAGAAACCAGCGCGTCAGCCCGATTCCTTCTGTGATAGCACGGACCCTGGGCCGTGGCTTTAATGACAGCCTTAGGGTCGGGGACAGGTGGGTGGCAACTGTTCAGAATTTCCTCGGAAACGTCTGTGCGAAGCACAGCGTCGCTGGAGCCAAAGCTCTTCTGAATCGACGAGCAAACTACACAGAGAGGACAGGAGAGAAGAGATCAGCGGACCTGAGGACACATGGCTGCCATTAAAGCATCGACGCTGGGCCTGCACATATCCAACATCAACCAGCACTTATTTAAAATTATTAAGTGGCTGGCGTGGTGCTAAGCACGGTAACATTCACATAGAGTGACAAAGCCAGGTGGAGACGAGAATCTCAGTTAAAATCCGGCACTGTCGGCCCGCTTGGAGCTGGCCACGCACGTGCCAGCAACACCAAACACACAGGAACTGCTGGGCCACACAGCGTCCCTGCCCAGCACGCTCAGGACCAGGGCAGGCCCAGCGCTCGGGGACTCCACTTCCGTCTGAAGCCCCAGTACCTGCCGCCTTGTGGGGTCAGTAATTTAGATTCTGAAGTCCCCTCATCACCAAACCAAATGGGAACTTTGGCCAGTGGGTAAGTTCAGTTCACACACTCTTGTTGGTTTAAAAAAAAGAAAGAAAAGGTGTGACTGACCCTGCATCCCACGGTCCTCCCCTCCAGCCTAGGGTGTGCTGCAGGCTGGAATTCCAGACCTCGGGAGGCTGAGGGCGGAGAATCGAGAGCTGGAGCACAGCCTGGGCTACACAGGAGCTTGGGAGGCTTGTCTCCAAGGTTTTAAAAGGACTTTAAAATGCTGAGGACAAAGGCTCTGGGTTCAGTCCCCAGGGCCGCCACAAAAAGGCCTTGTTGTCCTGCACGCCGTGTGACCCTGCCAGGGTTTCATGTAGACACCTGTGGCAGCCACTTCCCTGACAAAACCCTGCAGGGGACCCAAAGGTGGCAAAAGAGAGACCAGAGCAAATGGACTATGGGAGAAGCAGAGGGGCACGGAGAAGACAGCGGCCTGGAGGCACAGTGACACATCGCCGGCCTGAGGGTCACTGCTATCGGCTGAAGGCCACGCAGCTCACTGGCCACGCTGCCGGGCTGTGATCCTGAAAGTTCAGAAGAGGACAGTGAGGCTGAGAGAAGGCCCTGGGCTCTGTGTGGCTGCAGAGACCCCGGGCTCCTCCCCGAGCCATGCTCTGGAAATGCACCCGTTCCCCAAGACGGGCAGGGGCGCTCAGCGCACGCGGGCTTCCAGCTAGATTCCCTGCTGCCTGGAGCAGTCAGCCGTGCGGACCACTCGAGGACTGTCCTGGTCCCGGCAGCCGCAGCCTCCTGTGCACTGACTCTGCCCACCCTCCCCAACAGCTGAGCCACTGGCTCAACTGCAAACCCTGTGCTTCTGGGCCGGGTTCTAATCGCAGACACGAACAAAAGGCTGATGGGGGTGGTGACGATGATGGTGACACAGACCACGGCAGCCACCCTCCATTCATTTCCATGAACCCCAACAATCGCCTACACCTCAGCATCGGATTCTGAAGCCAGGCCACAAGGGGGAAGGGCTTGCCCAGCCAGCCTGCAGAACAGCTGCACTCAAACCACGGCCACCAACTTCCAAACAGGCTGCCCGGCAGGCAGGGCACCCCGAGAAGCAGAGCTTCAGTGAAGCCAGGTGTGGCTCCCCAGGACTGAGACAGACACAGCTGGGGTCCCAGGGCCCCAGTGGGCCCAGGGCCGAGACTCCTCTGTCCCTCTGTCCCTCGTGCCGCAGTGTGGACGGCCCAGCTCTGCTGGAGCGCTGGCCGGGAAGGGCCGCGTCCCCGTGCTGCTCACCCACCCCGGCTGCTGCCACAGCCTTCGCACTGAGCCAGCCCCACTGAGCGCCCCTACCTGCCCCTTCTCAAGCCCCGTGCCCTTGGGGGTCTTTGCAAGGAAGGCGGGACGCCCCGAGCGATGGTTTTGGCAGACACACAGCTTGCTCTTACTAACAGAATTGGATTGGAAACAAAATGAAGTGAAGAAGTAGCCACAAAGACAGGTGACCAGAGCAGTAACCTCTCTATAGTGATCCTCAGGATGAGACCCCTCATCAGGGGACAGCACCGACACACGGGCCCCCGCGATGAACGTGACCACTGTGCCCCACAAGCCAGGGCTGAGGAAAAGGAAGCAAGCCCCCCGTAATCAAACCCGACTGTCTGAAATACAATAACATCCACCCTTTATTCATCACCGAGAGCAAATATATAAAACCGTTTAGAAAAATAGACAGTACCTCTCGTTTACTGGGCCACGGTGCCAGCGTCCTCTAATCTTAAAGAAAAATTAGAGAAAAGTTAAATGTCCAGATTGTAAAGAACACATTGTGATTTCCCACAAAACTACAGACGAGCTAAGATGCACACTTTCGCTGTTCTACATCACAGGGGAATAGCAACGAGGACCAGACCACAGCAGTGTCAGAGCAGCGAGGGACAGCACATAACACAGCAGACTGTTACGTTCAATCCCTGTCATCTCGTTTTGAGCACCTACACTGTTATTGTTTGCAGTTTGTTGTTGTTGTTTGTCTCTTTTGCTTTTTGTTTTTCTTTTCTGTGTCCTTTGTCTCTTAAATAAAGAGTGAAAAATAAAACCACACATTCTATAATAAATCAGTGGAGTGCGCAGTAGATCCGCATTCTCACTGTGAGCCTCACTTTAAAATGCACGTAAGCAAGACCCATGGCCGTGGTCCACCGGGCCTCTTATCTGGAAAGCTCTTCACTCACCTGAGCTACTAACTTACAACCCAGGAAAGGGAACCACACTCCCCTGAATTCCACATCAGCCCCCTTATCAGTCAAAAACAAAACAAAACGAAAAAAGGCATCCCAGAAATCTACCCTGGTGCACCACAAAACCTCCATGAACTGACTTGAAGGCGAGCTTTGCAAGAGGAAATTAAAACTCCCCATGGAGCACAGCTACAAATAAAAGCTACGTGTGCTCTGGAATTACTCTTAATACACAAGCAGCAATTTCAAGGAACGCCTATCACAAACTGATTTCCGGCTCCCTGAAACGAGGTAGTAGAAGCCAGCTAAGCAGACATAGAAATTTCATATTGTCACAAAACACGCAAAGAGCTGCAGGGAGCACACACCCCAAAACCGTCCTTACTTTTTCGGGCAGTCTTGGTTTGATTGGTCCCCACATCGACAGCTTCGGCGGGCAGGCCCACGTAGACGCCGCCGTAGTTTCTATGAGACAAAGCAGACCGACTTCAATGGTACGTACCGAGAGAGAAGAGGCAACATTCCAAACAGTTACATAATTATTGACACAATACATGGTCTTTCAAAGTTGAATCCAAACTATCTTTGTTCCTGGAAATGTAACTCTGTTTTGTTTTGTTTTGTTTTGTCTGAGACAGGGTCTCACCATGTAGTTCAAATGGCCATTGACACTCAAACCCACAGTGATCCTCCTGCCTCAGCCTCCTCAGTGCTGGGAAAACAAGCGGGTACCCCCAGCTCGGCTGAAGGGATACAAATTAGAAAGATGCTACATAAAAAAAACTTTACTGAATTCAGACTTCTCGGATATTTTACTTGCAATGAGGAATAAGAAGTTGGAACGTCTTGAGTTAGCACGGTGATAAACACGGGTAATGACTTGTCCCGGGAAATGGCTAACATCTATCAAGAATTCCGTGTGGCCTCTGGATGAGCCCCTCCCAGGCCCCCTGGGCTGAAGACCCTCCCAGTGGAACCTGTTTCCCTGGCAATGTGCCGCCGGTGGAAAATCAGCAGGGGCAGCCTCGATTACTCAACACGACGCCAGCCACAACCCCAAACCTACCTCCTCTTGTCATCTTCCGTTATCGATTCTTCTGTCCTAAAAGATCAAAAACAGGTGTGATGAGCCACTTGGTGACAAGGACAGAGACTTCTTTTTTGGTGCTGAGAAAAAAGGGCTCATTGGGAGGAAGCGGGCTGCGTCCACTTCAAGAGTTTCCACCATCTTTCCGTGGCACAGGATTGCAGCTCACGAAATGTGCCAACCCAGAGGGGCTCCCAAAAGACTCGCTACTGAACTACAGGAAAAACTGAGGGCAGCCAGGATGGGGAAGAGCACATAAGCCAGATGCCAGGATGCCAGGGCTCTCACAGGCTGTGCCAGGCACTCCCCAGATGCCCAACTACGGGAGCAGGCTGCCTAAGCTCGAATATCAAGTATGTGGTCAACCAGCCGACTGCCAAGTCCTTCCCGGTCCTTACATGCTGCAATTTTGTGTCTCCTGTACCAGTTCAGTGGCACAACCATGGGTACCGAAGGATTTCTTCAGTGCAGGAAGAGAAATGCCAGCTGGCTTTTCTCTCCCGTGAAGTTAGGAGCCATGTCACACACATTCTATGCACACACAAAGACAGGAGCGGATACTCTCGCAGGGAGGCACTACTGTACAACGAACCATCTCCTCCCCTGAGTAAGGGAACCCCTCGGCATATTGTGAAGAGGAAAGGAACCTTCCTTAGGGCCCTAGTGAGCACGCACGTTACTCTTCTGAAACAAACACACAAACCAGGCTGAGCCCGACACGTAGCTCTAAGGCTGTCCCTAAGGCTGTCCATCAGGAGGAAGGCAGGCCAGACGCGCTGGGTCTTTTGGTTCTAGGGGAACCGTGGTCCCCTAGTTGAAAGCTGTGCACACTGCACATGCAGCTGCCTGGAGCATTTCACTGGAACCCCTGGCAAGTGCCAAGCCCTCAGAGGAGGAGATAAGACCAGCAGCGACCTGGTACACTCTGGACACCAAATCAGCACGACCCCCACTGGGGGAGACACCACCGTGAGACCCAGTTTCCCCACGCTGAGCACAGAACCTGTATCTGCTAGATAATTATCAACCCCTGAGCCTCTGGCTGAAGTGAAACTGTCCTTTAATTCAGAGGTGTCAAAGTCATTCTGCGTTCAAAAGGGTGTCTTGCTTATTGACGTGGCCCCCAAAGTGCTGCTTCCTGCTTTTAATTAAAATGGATTTATAAACCTTTACCACAGGGGATGAGGACGTGACGGTGACAAACTTGTGAGGATGAGTACAGCATTTTCTACGGGTAAATGATGACACCATGATGGGACTGTTTCTCATCAGACAGCCAGATACAGCTGGTGGGCTCGGACGTGAGCAGCTCCTCATGAGCTCCCCCACTGATGATTCTTTCCACACCCACCTACATATCTGTTCATCTTAACTCTTTCTCTTCTGTGCAATTATACTGAAAACATAATTTACGTAAGAAAATAGAAATGCATTTTAAACCTATTATATTAATTGTTCAGTAGCCTATAAAGTCCAACCTGGTCAGGTATAATGGCACACACCTGTAACCCCAGCACTCGGAAGGCTGAGACAGGAGGACTGCTGTGAGTTTGAGGCCAGCCTGGGCTATACAAGCGAGTTCAAAGCCAGCCTTAGCTAGACAGCAGGACTCTGTCTCAAAAAAAAAAAAAAATCTGTGTTAACCGGTATAAAAGTAATCAACCTGTATAAAACTAATCACCTTACATCTTTAACCAGCAAGAAATGATAATGTAGCCACCCTATTTCATGGATAACGAAATTCAGCTTAGCTATAATGCAGCATGGCTTCTGGGACGCACATTCTCCTGTCCCTCCAGGTATGTTACACTGCCCCCCTGAATATCGGCCCCCTGAATGGTGCTGGGCCTCTCCCTAGACCTTCTACAAACTGTTATTCTTAGTCTGAACGGAGACCAGGACTTCAGCATCGGTGCCGCCCAGTGACCTGGGTCAGCACTCTTCCACACCACAGCTTGGGGAGGTCAGGCCCAGGAAATGGGTGCAGACAGCCACAGAGCTAACAGATAAGCAAGACCCACAGGAGAGGCGCCATTCGGACCCCACCTATCCGACACCAATGCCTGTGTCTGGGCCACCTCGTAGCTTCTCGGGGAGAAAGATGCAGAAGTCCAGACAACCCCAGTGGGAGGTCAGCAAGGTGCTTCTCCAAAGGAGGAGCCACCCCGCGTCACTCCCGCCAAAGCTTTGAGCACCCGAGTCTCCCAGCCTGCACCTGCTGAAGCTGTTACTCCTTTCAATACTGCAAGAGAGCAGCTGACCTCATCCTAAAATGAAAACCTGAGGCCTGGGAACGCTGATAGCATGATCAAGGTTCCAAAACTAACAGGGCCGGAATTCAAATCCAAACTTGCAGGATTCCAAACCCCGACTCTGGAGCTGTGAGGCCGTGCTGCTGCCAGTCAGAGAAACACACCTCCCCGGACCCTTCGATGCTGAGGACACCACAGGCCCAGCGGGAAACCCCTCAGCGCCCCTGGGGCCTCACAGCTCAGGGTATGTTTCCTCTTGGGTAGGAGGGGAGGCTGCCTCTGCTGTGCAGTTTCCAGCTGAGACTGCAAAATCCGCCCCCCACACCAGTGACAAGAGCAGGGTGACAGCAGCAGGCAGAGCGGCACTGTCCCTGTCCAAGGAGGGACAGCCCAGGAGGTCCTGAGGACCAGGCTGCAGGACTCAGAACCAGAGGACTTCACCGCCCAGCACCCTCCCAGGAGAGCAGAGCCGCAGACTGAGTTACCCCAGGCTGAAGACACTGAAAACGAGGCTGGTCCACATCGAGGACCCAGCAGAAGACCAGAAGGCGCCACTGCGGGGGGCAGTGCTCTTGGGGAACTAACTGGTCCCAAGGCTCCAAGGTCAGCTCACCAGGAACCTCACCCTGGGGGAAAGGAGCAGGACAAACCTCCCACCACAGTAAGGCCTGGGGATCAGGGGAGGAGCCAGGAGCCCGTACCCCGTACCCCGGCACCCCTAAGCAGAGATGCTCAGTGCAAGACAGGAAAACCAAACTCTGCCGGGTTCCCTCCCACCTCCTCCCCCTGGGGCTCCTGGGGTCTTCCTCAGCCATGCTCGCCTGGAGCCAGAGGAAGCCACCAGCAAGCAAGAAAGAACCTAGATCATATTACTCAGATCAGGGAGCTCGGAAGCAACTATGCAGCCAGCCAAGACAAAAGCTGCTCTTGCCCGCAGACTCGCGCTGGACAGGAAGCCAACACCCCGCTTCTCCAGAGCCCCACCCCGCATCCCGCACACTTGGTGCTGCTGGGCTGGGCCCCTGAAGACCACCTTCTCCCTTGTCACTATGCAGTGGTGAGTTCCACCAACAGGGGAGAGGATGAGCTGCCAGGGGGAGGGTGGCGCAGAGCTCCTCTCCTCTCCCAGCTCAGCTCTCTGCTCCCAGAGCCTCCTGCCACCCTCACAGTGCTCCCAGGACAGTCCCATGTCCTTTCCAATCACTGCAGCTCAGGGTGGCTGCAGTACAGCCCACAGCTGTCATTACTGAAGGGTCACAAACATCTGTCCTGACTGCGTCGGTGCCACCGGCCCCTCCTCCAGGCTCTGAGGTGCCAGCATCTGCAGGTGACCCTCTCCACTCAGAGCCTGGGTCCCAGCCTCCAGACACTCCCTCCTCCATTCTGATGGCCCCACCTCCTGCCGGGTCGGGTCGCTGGGGGCCCAGCAGTGACAGCCACTTCCTGCTACCCCTGCAGTCCTCTCTTCCATCTCTAACTCCCCGAGCCCTGCTTACCATCTCCTGACAGTGAAGTCTCTCTGTTAAGTGGTCTGGGTGTGGGATGTAGCAGTGCATGCCGAGAATCCCAGGAGGACAGGCCAGGGGATCAAGAGCCCGAGGTCAGCACGGGCTACATAGTGAGTTCAAGGCCAGACTGAGGTCCCCACGCGGCTTCACAGGGCACCTGGGAACTTCTCAAGAACCGCTGGGTGCAGTGCTGTCAAGGTCACAGGTGCGCTGGGCTGCACGGCGGGCTGTGCACATCAGTAAGATCACAATCCTGCAACACAGGAGCTTAGAGGACACAGGGCATTCACAGAACAAAGCAGGACCAAGGTGGACACTGCTCCTGGTCACCCCTGCACACTGGTACGGGAATGCAGGACTTGCCAGGCCAAGGGTTTTTACACAGGAGTGGGAGTTAGGCTTCAGAGGTTTTGTGCTTTGCAGGGAGGCTGGACTTTTGAGACAGGGTCTCCATCCCTCCTGCTCCACCCCAGACCCCTTCAGCCTCAGGTCTGGCACTGGGATGCAGGGCTGCGCCCTTCACGCCGTGAAGACTCACATCAAATTTCTGGCCCACAGGCCCTGAATTTGCCTCCTTTAGAAATGCACAAAAATTTTATGTTCTGTGTATTTTACTGCAATAAACAATTGAACAGGGGAAGGAAGGAACGAGAAAGGGGATGAAGCACGGAGTTAAGACGTGCCCTCTGCATGTACCAACCCCCCACAGGGCGTGGTCATTGCATACTAACAAAAATGGAAATGAAATGAATAGAAATAAAGACATATCAAGAAGGGTGAAGGGCTAACATCAGGAGGCTGCCCTGTGCCAGCTGGGAGCTGTCCCAGGATTCATGCCCTGGCAGCCTGGGCACAGTTCCACCCTGGCCTCTGCCTCCAGGGAGCTGTGCCCAGCAAGAGGCAGAAGGAACCCCACCTAGGCTGCAGCATCCCCACGGCCACTCGCCCACAGAGGAGGCCACCTTGGAGCTCCTCAGGGACCCTAACTGCCCAGCACATTCCTCAGTGTCTTTAGCACTGAGACAAGGGCCCAGCAGGCTCTGCAGCGGTGACAAGTCCCTCCTGTCTCCAGCTGTCCTGGCAGCAGGGAGCCCCTGCCAGTCTCCCCTGCTCCCGTGCAAGCCCACACTCCCCGTTCAGCATCCGACACACCTGAATCATGACTCCAGGGTCTGCTGCTCACCGACCGGCTCAGGGTCTCTCTGGCCTGTCTGGCCTTCAGCCTCACACCCTTCCCAGGAGTGACAATGACAAG